CACTTGTATTAGAAAACGACACTATATATGAAAAGTGATTTTTGGACGAGAAAAAGCAGGCAGCTCAGGGATTCAATTGCTGAGAGAAGAGAAGTAAACCTGGTGAGTTTAGGATTGCCCCAGCTCTCTCTGGGGACAGTTTGCAGACTTTAGCTGAGAGATGAGACCTAGACCAGGGCTTCCAAGGGACACACAGAGAGCAGAGCTCAGTGTGCTTGAGTGGCTAGAATTTGCCATTAAGGTCTCAAAGAGAAGGGAGCAGTGGCCCATCCAGGAGCCCCAGAGATGGGCAGAGGTCTCTAAAGGCCTTACTGACCTAAGGTGTGTGTAGCACTGACCGAAACGGACTGCCTGAAGTCAGGAATCGATATCGCAAAGGAGTAGACAGAACATTTTCCTGGGCTCAGAGGACTGGCAGTAGGTCCTACTCCCTCAGCCAGAGTGAAGGCTGCCTCACACCCAAGCTACAGGTTGAATGCTGAGAAAGATGTTTCCTTAGCACTTGGTTTAAATTACCTTAAAGCAAATAGTACCTGGGAGCTGCCCTAACAAAACTTTGAGAGCACACCTGAAAAAGTCCAGCTGATTCCAAATAACTATTAAAATTTAAAAATAAAATAGAACTCAGTAGTCAACCTGTGTTGAATAAGTAGTGGAGATTTCCTTCTGGGAGAGGCTGAGAGAGGTAAAACAGAAAGAAATGTTACAGATGTTCAGGCAGAGAGGGAGCTGTTGCATTTGCAGAACAGTGGAAGTGAGGCAGCTGGACTCTCCAGCACAGGCAGGTGTTTGGCCTTGAGAGAACGGTGAAGAGCAGTGTGCACCATGTGGTCATAACGGCTGTGCAGGTACAAGGAGAGCTGACTTTCTCTTACAACTCAGGCTTTGAACATCTTGAAATAGTCTCTGTTTCTCAAACTCATAAGAAATAAAACCAGTGTGAAATAGGAAGAAAAGGGCTAAAGGTGTGGGGAAAGTGGGAAGGGTAGGGGAAAGGTAAGAAGGGAAAAGAAAAAAGTATGAGAAAATGAAAATAAAGTGTTTGTAAATGGGGAGGGGAGGAGGGTGTGAAGGAAGGGCAGGGACAAGGGGAAAAAATGAGAACCAAGACCTGTCATTTAAAGATACAAGATCCCAATGATGAATGTAACTGTACTGTATACCTAAGATGTACCAATAAACTCAATGAGAAAAAAAAAAGAAGTAAACCTCTCAAAAATTCCATTTCACTAAGCAAAGAGCTGTGAAGTAAACAAATAATGAGGCAGTCGTGCGAAGATTTAAAATGCCCAGCATTAGTGAGGACCAGACAAAGGGTATAACTTGCACTGAGTTATGTGAGTTGGTCTAATCTTTCTGAGCGGCACGGTGGATAGATGTTAAGAGCATCAGTTCACAAGCCAGGCCCACGTGGTCTTACACAAGGTTTCCCAGCTAAGACAGTGGAGAGAATAATAGTGCACAGGGTACCTCACGGAGCGCTTCTGTGAGAATGACGTGGACTTTGTAAAGTGAGGTGCTCAGTGTAAGTTGTGGCAATGTGCACAGGTGCCTCTGGCTGCTGAAGGAAAGAGGAAGCTGCATATTGAAAGGTTCCAATACACGTCATGGCACAATTTCAGAACACTGCAGAGAAAGATCCTTTTGCTTATCTGCTACCTGTCTCGGCCTGGCATCAGACTTGTCATCAGTTTTGTCTGCTGGAGCACAGCACAGTACTTAAACAGTGCTGACACGTGTAGCTCTCAACCTAGAATTCTACAAGGAGCTAAATTCTCAGCTGAGTGTACGAATAACGCAAAGATATTTTCAGAATGAAAAGACTTAGTTTACCTTACATTCACTCTTTAAGAAAAAAATAACTTGAATCTAGCAGAAGCCAAGAGGAACGGCCTCAACTCAGGAGTGGGAATAAAAAGATCCTGGACTGAAAAGTATGTAGGAGGCCTAGGAAGCAAAGGAATCAAAGGAGCATAGGAAAAAACACTGGTAATTGGTGTAATCGAGAAGTTAGAAGGTTGTAGACATGTGGTGAAGAATTATTTCTTTCCTCTGTAAGAAAAAGGTGGCTTTAATCCAGGGAGAAGCCCTGAAAAGAAATGTATTGTCCAGATTGGCAATGAAACAAAATATGTCCCTGTTTTAAGCAACTGATAGGATGTAAGAAAATTCATTTGACACCGATGCTTGTGATGTTTTGCTTTGATCGGCACAGGTTTTGTGATAAAAAGTTACAGATGCTTTTTTCCATATTTGTCAAAGTGCTGTACTAGGTTAAAATTACATCTGTGTACACAGATTACCACATAGCTGTTATCTTCAACATCTTAAGCATACAGATAATTATATTGTATTTTGTTTCACATTTTAGAGTAGAAGTATAGACAAGCATGAGAAAATGATAGATGAATTGATACTTAAATGTTCGAAATCTTGATATAGTGAAAATGGCATACTTGGCAGAACTTGAAAATATATGGGGAGAGTAGACAGGTGAACTAGTAGGCTTATTTTACACAGAGGGTGTGATACGCTTTTCAAAGTTCATAGGAGAAGAAATGGTTAAAGGGTATTATTTTACATTATACACATGATCATATTTGATGTATTAAATGGGAGGTTTGGCCTATAGGGGAGGTAAATGAAACAGTTCTCTTATCTTTTATATCAGGATTTGATTTTATGGTTTAGACATGATAATACTGTATGAGAGACACAGATCTAACGGTGTGCCTGTAATCCCAGCAGCAGAAGGATCACCAGGACTTTGAGACCTGTCTTACGAGCCACAAAAAAGGGTGAACTATGTATCCTGGTTGCCTTCCATGATAGCTAACACAAATATTGAAATTGGTTACATCTGGGGAGTAAAATTTGTCATGGTGGTCCGAGATGGAGCCTTTACTTTCTTTCCTGTACCATTTATTTAAACATTTATGTATGTCTATTTATTCTTACTGAGTCTGTTTTTTTTAAAGTCTTACAAATTATTTTACCTAGGATTTTTCTCTGACTGTTAACATATCCCAGTGAGTCTTGAGTCTACAAAAATACTAATGTGATGATAGGAACATACATTTCTCCAGCACAGGAAGTGACTGTTTCTGTCCCATTGTGCCACATCAGCTCTGAGCAGATATTAACTGCTGTAGATTGTGACTAGGAAGGGGCGTCCAGGCTGGTAGGGGCATGTAGAACACTCCTTGTGAGAAGAGTTAAGGGAACCACTGATGCATTGCTTGGCAGGATAGAAAGCAGGCACACGGGAGACCAGATCCCCAGCCTTAGAGCTATAGAAGGAAGTGTGTATTGTGCTGTGTGGGTAGAAATTAAAGAGTGGCAGCATTGTAAACAGTTTTCCCACTACTAGAGCTATATAATGATGTCACTTAGTGTTCAAACAAAAATTCTGTAGAGTACATACGTTTGGTTAGGGTTCTGCTAAAGTTCTTCTGAGGACCTTGCAAATAACTGAATTTGGAGGGAGGCCGGTTAGAAAAAACTTTTTTTTTTTTTTTTTTTAAACTGTGGGTTCAACCCAGACTCTTCACACTGAGCTTTGTCTCTAGCCATTTTTTAAAAATTTGAGACAGGGGCTAGGGATTTAGCTCAGCAGTTCGGTGGCCTGCCTTGCAAGCGCAAGGACTCAAGTTCAACCCCCAGTACCAAAAAATTAAAAAATAACAAAATAAAAATTTGAGACAGGATCTTGCTAATTTTCCCAGACTGGGTTCAAACTTGGATTCTCCTGCCTCAGCCTCCCAGAGTGCTGGGATTTTAGGTGTGCACCACTGTACCTGGCTTGACAAGCACTTTTTAACCAGGTATTCATTGGGCTTTAGGATACATAAATAAAACATGAATAGATTCAAGGAACTCAATCTAGTGTTGTCCATTTCACTTGTTAAGCAGGGACTAATACCTACTTTTTAGAGTACTTGTTAGAAAAAAGTGATTTAATATTTGTATCTGGCATTTAATAAATGAGTAAGAGAAATGATAACTTTCTTGACATATCCAAAGGTTTGCTTAAGTTTCCTCACAGGAAACCATGGCACTTGAGTAACATGACAATCACTAAGCTGTATGATTTAGCAGAGGTAGATGAGGACATGGGCTAGATAAAGACTGGCAGCTATAGATTAAAGGTAGAAAGTGAGGAAATCATCACTTGGAACAATTCTCTTCAGTACAGCAAAGACTTCTGTTCATTGCCTAGTATTCCCTACCTTACACATAAGGTAAACATTTCTCTTACAGCCCAGAACAAATGCTCTTTTCTCCTTGAAGTCACATCCACCTTCCAGTTGGACAGCCTCCTGATTGTCTGAACCATTTTAGGACACTTCACAGCACAATTACCATTTTTTGGGTCCATGTCTTCACTTCCAGTAGATGGTGAATACACATTTCTCCATAATGTCCTTACTACCTAGGTCACATAAGCCATGCGTACTGAATTTTAGATTTTCTAGTAGCAACATCTAAAATAAAAAGAAACCTGGGTATGGTGGCACACAGCATAATCCAAGTACTCTGGGAGGCTAAAGCAGGAGGATCACGAGTTCAAGACTCACCTGAGGAATTTAGCAAGACCATGTCTCCTAAAATAAATAACTAAATAAAAAGAGTTTGGAATGTAGCTCAGAAATGCTCTGGGTTCAATCTCCAGAACCACCTAATTCATTAATTAATAATTTTAAATGAAATTTAATTTTACTAGTGTATTTATTTAATCCAGTATATCAAATATGTCATTTCAGTGTGATCAGCTTAAAAATTCCTGCTGAGGTGTTTTATGTTTGTACTAAGTCTTCAAAATCCTTTTATTACATTAACAGCAAATCTTCACCTGGCCTCGCCACATTTCAAGTATCAGTAGCCACTTATCTGAGGACTGCTGTACTGGACAGCGGAAGCCTAGCACATTATGGGTGATTAGTAAATGAATATCCAAGACAAACTTTCAAAAGTAATCTTTTTTTTTTCTTCACCAGATTACCATGGCTACAAGAGTCATGCCCCACAATGAACAACCATATTCCATGTTGGTGAAAAGCAGTGGGAGTGCTGCAAACACGAAAGGTAATATCTGCTAAATATATTTTTCTATGTACCTGGTATTTAATACATGTATGTGTGTGAATAAACGTAAAAGCAAAGGCCCAATTCTTCATTTGGAAATGCTACGATCCAGGTGCTTTTAAGGCCTTTTGTTGATTTCTGCCTTACCACTTTGGTGCGTTAGGATTCCTTTTCAAAATCCTGAATAATGATCCTGGCCTTTTTAGAAGGGAAGTTTCAAACATGTTTGTCTCCTGCGTTATTATCTTAGACCAAGAATATGCCTTTGCTCCTATCATCAAACGCCTACTTGTGAGTCAGCTGTTCATTGTTTTCTCCTTCAGTTTCTTGCAAGTGCCACTTACAGAGCACATTCAGAAGCACTGGAGCCCTACTTCTCCCAGTGTTATTTTCACTCTTCCGTCACCTTCCCACACAGTTTTGATTTTTTCACAGCACCTCATGCAAAGAAGTGTGCTGAAGTGTGCTATGACTTGGACTCCTGCTGCTACACTTGCTCCTGCTGCTACACTCCTGAGCTGGGAGCTTGCCCTGACTCCACTTTGGCCTTGTTGGCTGATAGTCAGGTTTCTGTCAGTGTGATAAAATACCTGAGATGAGTCACCCTAAAGCAGGAAAGGTTTCTTGTGGCTCACAGTTTCAGGGATTTCCGTCCATGGTCAGTTGGCCCTCTTGCTTTGGGGTTTGTGGTGAAGCAGTACATTATGGCAGAGGAAACTGGTCACCTCATGGAGGCCATGGCTAACTGCCTTCTACTAGGCCCGACTTGCTAACAGTTCCACCACTTCCCAGCTGTGCCCCAAGTTGGCACCCAAACATATAGTATTTGGACCTTCATGGGACATTTCAGATCCAAACCCTAATATTGGCCTTCCTGCTCCCATCCATACTACCCAGGAGAAATGTACAGTGATTTTACTTGGCGATATTCTGCTGGCATTATGTTGTGACTTCCCTCTCTGGGTTTTGCCTCTATGAGTTTCTTTAGTCCTACTGTTTAGGAACTTTGCAGTATTTCTTCCCAGGGCATACATTACATGATGGGAGACTAGAAAAGCAAGATTCTATAACTAACGGGGCTGCAGTTCAGGGCTTTCTGGGAACAGTTTATTCTCAAAGTTCCTTGTGTGCTTGTTAGAATCTGGCCACTCCACCAGGCCAAGCTGTCTTTGATCCAGTGTTGACCTTGACTGAACTCCAGATCTTTGTAGATCCTCTTCCATCTGCCTGCTGTGTGTGAATCTAGGGGAACTAAATCTCCTGGTAATTGCCATTTGTCAACAGGTTCTATGTGCCAGATTTACTGTTAGTTTTCCTGGCCTTCCAGAGAAGTGCTCTTAAAAAAAATATAGTAATGATGTCTACTTGGTGCTTCCCTGGTAGAATAGTCGTTTTGCAGGAACCCAGGTGCTACCGCCCTGATCAGAGAACATTCCACACAACCTCCTCCCAGACCAGCTGCACCTGGAAACTCATAAGGTTATTATTGTCCTGCTGTTGATAGTAGCCACTGCTCCCTGCTTTTTCCCAAGCCTTGCACTTGGGCAACCATTATCGGCGACACTCTCTCAAGCCTATTCTTGGAGATAGCTACAACCCCCTTTCACTGAACTCCCCCCTCCCCATGACCCTACAGAGACCCTATAGCCTGTATAGAGTTGCTGGTCTGGTCCCTCTCAGATTTGTTCTGAAATAAACCTGTCCCGTTGAGCTCATATCTCTGGGTTTTCTTCTGACACTTTTCTCCTGAACAACACTCCAGCCAACAAGTTTTAATCATCTGGCAGACCTTGTTCCTGCTTCTTTCTTCTATCAGAATGTTACCTCTTTCTTGTTTTGTTTTTTGCAGGGTTTCTCTTGGATTTGGGGGGTGGGACAACTCTTCATTGTGTAAGAGCACCCTGAACACTCATAGCAGTTAGCACCCTCCCTATCCAGTGGTGTCCCTATACATTTCCAAATTCCCCCAGGAAGGTTCTGCTCCCTCTCTTGTTGTTCTCTATGTGAGCTAATTTTCCCTTTTCAAAAGAAATTTTTTGCATTAAAATTTCCCTCATATGCAGCTCATTTTAAATTATGGAAAAACTGACCAAACAAAGTGTGTTTCATCTTTTCTTGTGCCTGATGTCCATTGGTATGTCTTGGGGAGAAACTTCTATTCAATACTTTGTCCATTTTAAAATGGAGTTATTGGTCTTCTTATTGTTGAATTGTAAGAGCTCCTTACATGTTCTGAATATTAGTTTAATGCATTAAACATTCTTTGTTCTTTCTGGTTTTCTTCATTTATTCTTGTGAGTTGACTTATCTTGTGTCATTTGATTTAGTGCAGTTTCTATCTCCACTTACTTCCTTTGAACTTGTCATATAGATTACATATCTATCTTTGTATCCAACATGCACACCATTTTGTACACTTCTATTTATATAATTTAAAACAAGAAAAAAAAAGAAGCATTTTTGCTGTCTTCTGTAATTGTCGATTTTTATATTATGCCACTAGTGGTAAACCTGTGGACCACTTTTTTTATTAAGACAAATGATGGTGTATAAGGTTTTTTTTTTTTCTCTACACTAAAACCTCAGTACTCAGGTTTAATTGCAGCATTGGCACTTTGCATTAATAAGTGGGTTTTGGGTTGCAGTTTGGGCACTTGGTCTCTAAGATGGTCACCATTACTGTATTATACTCTCTTTCCCAATGTCCTTTCTTGCCTGTGGAATCACATTACTCTCTTGGGTGACTTGCTTTCAACCCAAAGAGCTTCCTTTAGTAGTTATTGAGGTCGATCTTTTAGCAACAGATTTTTCAGTATCTATTTATCTGGGAATGCCTTTATTTCTTCTTTTTTGCTAGTTAAAATTATTTTATTTTCAACACTTAAAATATATTATGCCTCTGTGTTTTATTCTCCATTATTTCTGATGAGAAATAAACTATTAATTCTCTTCAGTTCCCTTGTAGGAGACATCCCTGCCCTGTACTAGCAGACTACAAGTAGCACATGCTTCTTGCCTTCCCTAATTGCGCTATGCTGTTCTCTATCAGGAGTCAGACCAAAGCCCTCTGTGACTCAGAAGGGCTTGTCAGCTAGCAGAGTTGGGCTACTACGGCTCCCTTGATAATGGCTGTCACTGAGGCCTAAGTCCTGGTCAGTGAAGTGGCAGGGCCCAGCTAAGTTACGTGCAGCTGAAGTCAGTGTGACCCCAGTTAAAATCCTTTCCCTGAATTACTGCTTCTCATTGACCTTGTGTGTTATTTGCTATTACACCTGCTCCCAGTACCAGTTTCTTCTATCCTAGAAAGATAAGTAGTGGCTGACAGCCTTGCCTGTTGCCATTATGCCAGCTGTTCAGCTGTAATTCACTAGATGACTTCAAAGCTCCAGCTCCCTATTTCTTCACACAATTATACTCAATAAATACTGGATGTGCTTGGGGGCTTTTGTCCTTACTGCCATCAGCAGCACTAAGCAGGACCCAAAACTCAGCTTCTCCACTCTAAGTCTCCTTTCTGTCTGTTCTTGAATTCACCTTGTGCTGTGGTGGCTCTCAGGCCAGGACCCAAGGCAGAGGTCCTGATAACGTCCCCTTCCCCATTCCCTGCATTCCCTTGAATATGAGAAGTCATTTTCTGTTGTTATTTTGGAGCATTTTTAATTTGATGCATCTTGGTGTGGGTCTCTGTTTTTATTCTATCTGGATCTTCTTGAACTTGTTATATGTGTAGATTAATGTTTTTTGTTTCATTACAGCAAAGTAGTTTGGTTTGTATTATTGATGTTCTACTCAGGGCTTTTTTATGAAACTATATCACCTGCCCATCTTTATTTTTGAGATAAGGTTTCCCTATGTTGCTAAGTTGACCAGGCTAGGCTCCAACTGGGCCATTCTTCTAAAGTGCTGAGACTACAGGAATGCACCACCATGCTGGGCTACATTAGAGAAATTTTAAGCCATTATTTCTTCTCATATTTTTCCATTTGTGCACTGTTCTCCTTTGTTCCATGTATCCTGGTCTACTAACTGCTGCCCCACATTTCTTCAAGACTCTGTTGAATTTTCTTCATGTTTTATTCTTTTCCTCAGAGTATGTAATTTCTAAATCCCTTAAAGTGCTCTACTCTTTCAGCAGCGTGAGTTTTACTATTAGTTTCTCATGTGAATTTTTCACCTTTTTTTTTGTTTGTTTGTTTTTCAACTTTTGAGTTTTCATTTGTTTTTTTAAAATAGTCTCATTACTGATGATCTCATTGTCATCAAGCTTCTTTTACTCCTCTAAGGATGATTATTTTTTTCTACAAACACAGTAATAGCCTAGTTGTTGGAATATCTGTGCCTTCTCACAACTGTTTCTGCTCACTGCTCTTTTTCCCATGTATGTGTGATGGCACCTTGCTGTTTCCTTCCATATCTCATAATCTGACTGTTTAGCTAATGTATTTTATTACTTCTACATGCAAGTTTATTCTTGCTTCTTGTGTGTTTGGTTAGAAACTTGACTGCACCATCTTAGTGAAGTCTGTTTCCTCCATAGTTTGAAGCCTCTGGTATGACTCCTCGGAAAGCATGGTCTGTGTCCAGAGAAACATGGTCACCCTGTGATGATAGTGGTGTTAGCAGGCCTTTCCTCCTCTGTCATTCACATATCCCACCATGATGTTCTCTCCCTCATATGTTAGCACACCAGCTATTACATAACACTGACTGCCTGCTGATGATTCCATTGTGTATACCAAAGCTGTGGGACATATGTTGCTCCATAGTCTGATCCACTTGTGCCTGGGTAATGTTGGTTGGTGAGGTTCACTCTTACTCCGAGGTTGTATTTGTTAGTCATTTCTTTCTGGTACTGCCTGATAAACTAGCTAATCTGCAATTTGTCTTGTTGCTTTCATGAAAATATCAGCCACTGCTTTATTTGCCTAACCTCAGAGTGTCATTGTTTTTGATATTGCCCCTAGGTTTGAACTCTCCCACACTTTGTTTCAAATAAAGAT